TGGGGAACTTCAGCTGCCCACTTCGCCTCAGCTGGTCCGTCAGGCCTCCCGTGCCACCATTGAGGCCTCTGCAGGGCTCCCTGCGGGGCTCACTGGCCGCCCCTCGGCTGGACGTCGCACCACACCTGCAACAGAAACAAAGCTTGCCGACGGGGTCTGCTCGGGAGTCCCTGACCTGGACGGCCAGGACCGCGTGCTCTTTTCGGGAGCGGCCAAGAGGGGGGTGTCCAAGAGGGGGGGGGTGCAAATCATGACCAGCGGCATGTGCGCGAGGCGCCATGAAATCTGAGGAAAAATCATGGCCCGCGCCATGATATCCACTCCCCCCCTGGTCATCACCCCCCTCTTTTCCGCCTCCGCTCTTTCCCTCGGTACACATACCCAGGGCGTGCTCCCCAGCCCCACCACCCCCCACGTCGTCCACCACCCCCCACCACCCACAAATTCGCTGAGCACCCCGCTCACCCGTAGCTGGGTCGCGTCTGCAACCACAGCGTTGGGTGTCCGTCCTTCATCGAATCGGGCGGCCTTGCGCCATCGCACAGGGCCTGCCCCTCTGGCGCCGGCACGCTATTCTCGGGCAGGGCGGGGCCTCCCGCAGCAGGGTCTGGGGCGGCCAGGCCAGCCGCGCCCCCCCTGCCCAGCGGAAACACCTCGAGCGACGCAGCCACAGGGCCTGCTTCCCTCGCGAGTCCTCTCAAACCTCTGGAGAGATTGGCATGATATGGCGTGGCACCATGCTTGTCCACGCCAGCTTTCGCAAACTCGTCGGCAGCATCGCTGGCCCTTTCCTTCCAATGAATCGATCGGCCAGCATCGATGTCGTTCATGAGAACCCCGAGGTCCTCCGGTAGGAAAGGGGCTCCAAGAGGGCGCCCCAGAGGTGACCCCGAGGCGCCCCATGACCCGCGGGGGACCCAGGACCCGCGACCAAGGAACCGACAATCGAATGGCATGTCATTTACAACTGGAACGGGGGATGACCGACATGCTTCATCACAGATACAGCAGGGTATTCCCCACCCTTGCTGGTCTGGGCGCGGGCAACTCTCACTGGAACAGGTCCGCGCGCAGCGTGCTGGACTTCAACTCTCTTGCTCACTGGAGCGATCGCCCACACACACAAAAAAAAATCGCTAACACCCCGCTCACCCTAACACCCCGCTCACCCGAGCCAAGCGGCGGCGCGGCGACTGCTCGCGCCTGCGTCCGCCGCGTGCGCCTCGGGCCAGCGAATGTGTGCGATGGAACCAGGGGCCGAACTCGTTCCATACACACACACACACACACAACCCTCTCGAGGCCGTCGAAGCCCGTGTCCTTGGCCGACCCGCCCCCCCCCCCAAAAAAAGCAGGCCCGACACGAGGCCCGTCTCGGGCCGCTGGCACCGGAAAAAAACTTCCCCACTCCCTCGGATTGGATACCGAACAAGCTCCTGGGAGCAGGAAAAACACTCGACAAGCTTGTGCTTCCTTGTTTGCTCAGTCATGCTCAGCTCTGCTCCGCTCTGCTCGTTCCCGAACGGAATGCAATCGTGTCCTCGCCGGCCACAGTGTCTGATAACTTCCTGAACGCGTTTCTCGCTCGCCCGTTGCTGATCTCCTGGCAACACTTCCCAATCAAATCTCCCGGTATCGGCAACTCTTGGCTCGCGGGCCCGTCGCGCCGAACTCTTCAAGCGTGCGCTGGCGTGGTCCTTCCTCATCACCTCGTTCGCTGGGCACTCGTACTGGCGGTGGCACAGAATGCCAGGAGTTCCATCGGCACCTCTGGCAACACTGATCGTGGTGAAGCCCGTGCAGGAAGAGCTTGGACTCAGGCCAAGGTACATGTGGTACCAGTCCTCTCATGCATCTCTGGTGGTGCTTCCCCCACGTGCTAAACCTCCTGGAAAACAGTTTCTTGATTCATGTCCAGAGGATCGGGTGGTTGGGGGGGGGCTTCGGGGCCTCCCAAAGCGTGGCGAGCAGAACCTCGAACAGCTTTGGAGCAAACTACCCAATTTACCTCAACTGTGGAAAACTGCAAAAGGTTGAACTGATTGCCGCAGTCATCAGCAATGTCGCAATTGTTCTGGAAGCCCCAGACCATCTCCCTCAAGATCAGCAACGCGACATCTGCTGGTGACGAAGCTGTGCGACATGGGTGCTGGTCACCTATAAGCTTGCGCACCGAGTGGACCATCGTGCTCCGCAGGACAAGCGCTCGGCAACGCCTCCCATACAGCCGTGGCCCACATGAACACGCCATGGCCCAAGTGGGCGAGGAGGGAGCCCACCGTGAACCCGAGCCCATGAGTGTACACCACGAGTCCTGCCGAGGCACCTTCGGGGAAGTCGCCCCAGGCTGCTGCTAGCCGCAGCCGCGCTGAGGCCCGCCTTTTCTCCGTCGGGGCCGTTCCCGAGACGCTCTGGCTCCCCAGTTGGGCCGGTGCCGTGGGCCTCATACGCTGCGCCAGGGCTGGACACACACGCTGTGTTTCGCTATGTCTTCGTTTTGTACTTCGTGCTGCTCTCCCTGCTTTCCTGTACCTCCCTGCCACAACGAAAGACAAAAAAGCACCACCGAAGTCCGGCAAACCAGCGTTCAGGTCCAGCCCTGCGTTGCAGTCATAGTGATGTCGGCCCCCGCGGACTGGATGACCTTGCGCCTCCCGGCCCCCGTGGTCGCCGAACTCGACCGGGCACTCCGAATCGAGCCCGCCAAACTCTCCCGACATGGCGTTCGTGCCGAAGTTCTCGGCGGCATCGGCCTCGCGCGAGTTGGGGACAACTCCAGGTGCTGAAGACGGGCCTCGACCTCTCTGGAACTGAGACAGGCGCACTCCTCAAACTCTACTGGCAGTACGAGGCCATCGAAGCACAGAAACCAACGGCATGACTCCTCCCGCGAGCCGCTCTGCCATCTGGTGCTCATGTCCGCAACTCTGAAGAGTAATGCCATTAACATCATTGCACACGTACAGCAAATGCCTAATGCTCCTTTGCCTCCAACAGAGGGCCAAGCAAGACCAGCTTGACCAGCGTAGTGGCTGCGGAGCAGCCAGCTAGGATGGAACCGTTCGACTGGACGACCTCCGAGGCTGCCCCGCCATAGAACAGCACGCGGAGGCTGGCATACACAGTACCAAAACCTCGCAGCAGGCACACGGGAAACTGAAAACGCTCAGCTGCAGCAAGAAGGACATCGTGCCGAACGTTGTCGTAAAACTCAGCAGCAAGGTCCAGGAGGGCCTACGACGTCTCAAAGCCAGCCTGCTTACGGTGAGCTCCCGGAAGATTGTGAACCCAACCAGCTCGTTCGCACGGCGTTTCAGGGCCCGATCCCCAAATGAAGTCGTAGCGACTCGCCTTCTCCCATCTCCTGCAAAACGGCTGTCGCAGACGATGCCAAATCTTCATGAAGAAACACATGAGCCCTATCGGCCTCCCGTGGGTTGGCCCAGGAAAACCACAGTCGTGACGAACACAATTATCGACGCCGGCTCAACCTCGAACAAAGTTAAAATCTCGAGCAACCTATACCTATGGGACTCTGGCAACTGCAAAACCCACCTCGGATTAAAACCGTCCAAATCGAGATCCACCGACGCTCCGTTCTTTCTGAGAGCCGTCGTCGTCGTCGTCAGCGTCATCACCATCCTCATCATCGCCACCACCACCACCACCATGATCATCATCATCATCATCATCATCATCATCATCATCATCATCATCATCATCACCACCATCATCATCATAATCATCGACTGCAGCAGCATCATCATCATCATCATCACCACCACGATCATCATCATCATCATCATCATCATCATCATGAGCAGCAGCATTAGCATCAGCATCACCATACTCAGCATCATCATCAGCAGCATCAGCATCATCATCATCATCATCATCATCATCATCATTAGCAGCAGCATCATCAGCAGCATCAGCATCTTCAGCAGCATAATCATCATCATCATCCTAATCATCAAGCTAGCCATCGTAATCGTCATGATCATCATCATCATCATCATCATCATCATCATCATCAGCAGCAGCAGCAGCAGTTCATCATCATCGTCATCACCACCACTATCACCACCGCCACCACCACCACCGCAACGAGAAGCAGCAGCATCATCATGTTCATCATCATCATGTGCATAATCATCATCATCATCATCATCAGCAGCAGCAGCATGATCAGCATCATCATCAACAACAACATCATCGTCATCATCATTTTCATCATCATCGTAATCAGCATCACCATCACCATCATCGTCATCATCATCATCATCATCGTCATCATCAACATCATCATCGTCGTTGAGGTAGTCGACGTCATCAGAGTCATCATCATCTTCATCATCATCATCATCCTCATCATCATCATCATAATCATCATCTTCAGAAGCATCATCATCATCTTCAGCAGCAGCATCATCATCCTAATCAGCATCGCCATCGTCATCGTCATGATCATCATCGTCAGCAGCATCATCGTCATCATCACCACCACCATCACCACCGCCACCACCACCACAACAAGAAGCAGGCAGCAGCATCATCATTGTCATAATCATCATCATCATCATCATCATCATCATCATCATCATCATCGTCATCATGATCATCATCATCATCATCATCATCATCATCATCACCATCATCATCATCGTCATCATCATCGTAATCACCATCATCTTCTTCATTATCACCATCGTGATAATCACCATCATCATCATCGTCGTCGTCATCGTCATCACAATCGTCGTCGTCGCGGTCGTAGTCGTCGTCGTCGTCGTCGTCGGCGGCGTCATCATTGTCTTCATAATCACCACCACCAACACCATCATCATCATCATCATCATCATCATCATCATCATCATCGTCATCGCGATCATCATCATGACCATGACCATCATCATGACTATTACCATAATCATCATCAGCATCATCATCACCATCGTCATGACCATGACCATGACCATGACCATCATCATGGCCATGACCAATCATCGTCATCATCATCAGCATCAGCAGCATCAGCATCATCATCATCATCACCATCACCATGACATCGTCAAGAGGAGGAGGCCAGGAGGCGAGACCGCACGCTCCTGGACGGGGTGGGCCCCCCAGGCCCCGATCGGCGAGGCATAGGCGATTTGGGGGTCCCTCCCTGTAGGCGCCCACCAGAACCAGGAATGCGACACGGATCGGGCCGCACTCCTCCTCCTCCCTCCTCCTCCTCCTCCTCCTCCTCCTCCTCCTCCTCCTCCTCCTCCTCCTCCTCCTCCTCCACCCTCTCCTCCTCCCCCTCCTCCACCTCCTCCTCCTCCTCCTCCTCCTCCTCCTCCTCCTCCTCCTCCTCCTCCTCCTCCTCCTCCTCCTCCTCCTCCTCCTCCTCCTCCTCCTCCTCCTCCTCCTCCTCCTCCGGGGTCGGCAAAGTCTGAATCGGATCGGATCGGCCGCGCCAGGACGCACAACATCCTCATGCGAGCATCGGGCCGCACCGTCCCAGATCTCTGGCGTCGTGACTTTGATAACAGCGTGGACCGCAGAGGTTCGGACCCCTCCCGGGGACCGAATTTGACACATGCATACTAGACGAGACCGCGTTCAAATCCGACAGTGACAGCGGCACTGGGACTGTAGCAATGGCACACCGAGAGCTGCAGATGCACATAGATATATGGTTAGAGGGAGAGAGAGGGAGAGAGAGAGAGGAAGAGAAATAGAGTAAGTGAGAGAAAGAGACAGAGAAACAAAATAGAGAGTCCGCTGCGCGCAGGCCTCACCAGAGCGCAGGTCGGGCGTAACTCCCATTGCCCCTGCTGGCCACCCGGGAAGTGCCCGTCGATCAACTTGGGGATGTCCGCCGTCTTGTGGTCCTCGTCGCTGATGCCGTAGATCCACCTGGACGCTTTTACGTCGTCGTTTTACACTAAGAGCGTGCCTGAGTGGTACCAAGGTGAACAACGTGTGCATTAAGAGAAGCTTCAACGTGTGAAAAGCTTGCAACAGATGCAAGGATTCAAGGCCATACAGGCCATACGGCTTCAACGTGGAACTCTCGACCTAGCACTGCACCGAATCGGCCTAAACTGTTGCAACAGCTCTTTTATGATGAAGAACGATTCCTTTGTCGAATGGGGCTTTCGCTAGACACTATCTCAAACCTAACCGACCGAAACGTGAACACATGCAACAGCCGCACGGGAGGTTGTATTGCAGCGACGTTGTTGCATCATGGATGTCGCGGGATCCTGCCGACTCCGATATCGGTCATGGCTCACGCGAGGATGATCCGCGCATTGACGATGGCCTAGATCGACACCGACGTTTCCAGTCAGTATTGGTCATTGTCTATTGGTTGTCTTTCCCTCCATCCCCCGCCTTCACTAGAGGCCTCCTAGATGGGGTCCGAGTAGATGGGGTCGGAAGATCGCGCTGCATCGGCGCCGTCGGCGTGACCCTCAGCCCCGTCTACTCTGACCCCATCTGGGAGGCCTAGACAGGCAGCGACATCCGAACCCTGCCCCCACCAATCATCGATTCACCTCAATCGATGGGAGGCGGGGGTCGGGTTCGGTTCGAAGTTCGCCACGTGTTCGACGAATTCCGAACCCTACCCCCGCCGCCCATCGAGGTGCCTGAATGGTTGATCGGCGAAGATAGGGTTCGGATTTCGCCGCCGACTAGATTCGCCCCTCCCGCTTTCCCTGACCCAGCGAAGGCCCCCAGCGTCCGAAAAACTGCCTAAACCCTACCGTCGTGAATTCTTTGCGACACGAGCACGGCCCTCCGACTCCACTCCAGACTCCAGACCCGCCACCCGTGCCTAGGGGGACGAAAAACGGCATAAACATGAAAGCCTGGAGGTCCGCGCGGATTTCTTGGATCCGCGCTGGACCCCCCTCCCTGGCGCGCGGAGCGCGCCAGGGGCGCCGCCGGAGACGCCGCCAGGGAAGCCCCAGCGCGGATCCGAGAAATCCGCGCGGACCTCCGAGTTTTCATGCTTCTGTCATTTCTCGCTCCCCCGCCTCCGACCCCGCTCCGGACTCCAGACCCACACCCCGTTAGACGAGCGCGCGCCACTGCTCGCAAGGTAACTGCTCGCAAATGGCCTGGCCTGGATCCCCCGCGGGGGATCTACGAGAAACCACATCGAAGCAGACGTGTGTTTTTCGGGCGTTTGCGAGCAGGCACTCCGCGAGTCGTGGAACGCGCCCGGTGACCCGTGCCGCAGGGCGACCAGGTGCTTCCCGACCTGCGCTCCGTGCGCGACGCGGCGGAGGGCCTCCTCCTCCTCCTCCTCCTCCTCCTCCTCCTCCTCCTCCTCCTCCTCCTCCTCCTCCTCCTCCTCCCCCTCCTCCTCCCCCCTGCTTCCCAGGGCCTCCTGCCGCCTCCCCCTGCGGAGAGCCCCCCGTGGGCCGCCTGTCGAAGGCGCCGCCAGGCACGCAGGACATCGCCAGCCGCACCACGCCGCCCGCGCCGCCGCCCCGGCTCCTCGGGCCGCCGGGCGACGCAGGGGAGGAGGAGGAGGAGGAGGAGGAGGAGGAGGAGGAGGAGGAGGAGGAGGAGGAGGAGGAGGAGGAGGGGAGGAGGAGGAGGAGAAGAGGAGGAGGAGGAGGAGGACGATAGATGGAAAAGCACGGCGTTGAAGAGAACGGTAAAGCATAGCATGTCATAGCATAGCGTGGCATTGCGTAATGAAGCATTGCATCACAAAGAATAGCAACGCACAGCATGGCATCGCACAGCGGTGCACAACACAGCATCGCATTGCATGCCGTGGCATGGCACCAGATGACTTGGAGGGTCAATGGCCCGTCTAGGAGAAGACAAGTCCTGTCTGAAATGCCGGCTCCATGTCTTCCGCAACCGTGCCTGCCCGATGTGGACGCTTTCGAATGCCAAGTGCCGTCCAGAGGCGCGGGAACGAGGCCAGCACTGCAGCGGGAGCACGATTTTGAATGACCGAAGCGCGGAAATGAGGGCGGCGCTGCAGCGGGAGCACCATTTTGGAAGAACCAGAAACGACCCGATTGAGAAAAAATAGGAAAAACAACAAAGTCATGTGTAAAAAACAATACGCGGAGAAGACGGGAGAGTCTCCGGACAGAGTCAGCGGAGAGAGGAGAGTAGTATTCATCTGATGTAGTTGTAAAGCGGAGGAGGAGGGCGAGAAGAAAGAGGAAAATGAGAGGGGTAAGGGGGAGGAGGAGGAGGAGGAGGAGGAGGAGGAGGAGGAGCAGCAGGAGGAGGAGGAGAAGAGGGGCAAGCTAGATACGCTAGAGTCACATCTGACGTCCTACTCCTCCCTCCCATCCCTTACCATGGCGTAGTTCTCGTATTTATTCGCACGGTCGGCTGTCGAGCAGGGCAATGATCCCAAGAGGGTACGCGATAGATGGAAAAGCACGGCGTTGAAGAGCACGGCAAAGCATAGCATGTCATAGCATAGCGTGGCATTGCGTAATGAAGCATTGCATCACAAAGAATAGCAACGCACAGCATGGCATCGCACAGCGGTGCACAACATAGCATCGCATTGCATGCCGTGGCAGGGCACCAGATGACTTGGAGGGTCAATGGTCCTTCTCGGAGAAGACAAGGCCTGTCTGGAATGCCGGCTCCATGTCTTCCGCAACCGTGCCTGCCCGATGTGGACGCTTTCGAATGCCAAGAGCCGTCCAGAGGCGCGGGAACGAGGCCAGCACTGCAGCGGGAGCACGATTTTGAATGACCGAAGCGCGGAAATGAGGGCGGCGCTGCAGCGGGAGCACCATTTTGAAAACCAGAAACGACCCGATTGAAAAAAGCATAAGAAAACAATAAAATCAAGTGTTCAAAACAATGCGCGGAGAAGACGGGAGACTCTCCGGACAGAGTCAGGGGAGAGAGGAGAGTAGTATTCATATGAGGTAATTGTAAAGCGGAGGAGGAGGGCGAGAAGGAGTAGGAAAATGAGAGGGGTAAGGGGGAGGAGGAGGAGGAGGAGGAGGAGGAGGAGGAGGAGAGGAGGAGGAGGAGGAGGAGGGAGGAGGGAGGAGGAGGAGGAGGAGGGGGGGGAGGAGGAGAGGAGGATGAGGAGGATCAGGGGGGAGGAGGGAGGAGGAGAGAGGCGGGAGGGCAAAAGACGAAAAACGAGGAGGAGGAGGAGGAGGAGGAGGAGGAGGGGGATCCGGCAGAGTAATCCCGTGCGCTCGCGCCACATCTGACATCCTGCCCGCCCCACTCAACCCTTCCCTTCCCGCCCGCCGGGGTGCCCCACAGGACCCCGACCCGCCAATGGCACCTGCAGGATATGATCCTGCGGAATCTGCATCGGGATTGTTACTCCAGATTTCGTAATAAAAGGGAGGGGGTCTCAACCCTCCCAGACGAGAAGTTTTAGACCCCCCCCGTGGGAGAACCCCCCAAAACATCGTCCCCAGACCCCCCCAGGCCCTCCAAGATAGCCTGGAAGAGACCCCCCCCGAAATGAGACCCCCCTCCCTTTTATTACGAAATCCAGAGTATGCATTGGAGAGGGCATACACTGACGGAGAAGGAGGAGCAGCAGGAAGACGACCAGGAGGAACAGGAGAAGCACAAGGAGCAGGGGAAGGCGGAGCAGGGGACAGGAGGACGGCAACGAAATGTGGCTCGCGATGAGGCGAGAGTGCCAGTCTCAACGACAGGAGCCAAGCACCGATCCTGAAATATGGCCAACCCCGGAGCAGGCGCACAGCCTTTGAAGGACCGACGCTTGAGATCCTGTGCGTGCGTGCGTGCACTACGCTGGGGAGGCGAGTCCCGCTGCACACTGCCAGGGGAGAGAGGAGAGTAGTATTCATATCAAGTACTTGTGGATGGGGAGGGGGAGAACGAGGGCGAGGAGAGGAGGGCGACCTTCTTCTCCTGGCGGCCCCCTGGGGGACCAGCTTTTTGGGGGCCCGAACGGTGTTTTCGGGGCCCCTGTTGCTCCGACCTCTGTGCACAGGACGGGAGCAAAGGACACGGTGAGCACGGCACCTCGTGAGAGTGGACCTTCGTCAAAGGAGATCGAGGAATCGAGGATCGAGTGTGTTACTCCAGATTTCGTAATAAAAGGGAGGGGGTCTCATTTTGGGGGGGGGTCTCTTCCAGGCTGTCTTGGAGGGCCTGGGGGGGTCTGGGGACGATGTTTTGGAGGGTTCTCCCACGGGGGGGGTCTGAAATGGCTGGTCTTGGAGGGTCCAGACCCCCTCCCTTTTATTACGAAATCTGGAGTAGACATGTTCACCCTTTGGGCCTTAGGAGGCCTCCGGGACGCGGCAGAGGGGGAAGGCTTCGGGCACCGCCCCCGCTTCGTTCCTGTCCACAGTGCGGCTTCGCCCCTTCCCGCCCCCCCCGTCTCCTATTCCTTCCTCCTCCTCACCCTCAGCCTCGCCCTCGACATCCCCCTCGGCCTCGCCCTCCCCCCCCGTCATCCCCCTCGGCCTCCTCCTCGCCCTCGTCCTCGACCTCCTCCTCGCCCTCCTCCTCCTCCTCCTCCTCCTCATCATCATCATCCTTCTCCTCCTCCGCCTCCTCCTCCTCCTCCTCCTCCTCACTCTCCTCCTCGCCCTGCTTCCGTCCCCTCCACTTCCCCCCTTTTATCCGGCGTTGGCCTCTGGGGGTCCCCGTAGACCTCCCGAGGCCCAGAGAACGCCGTAAGACTTCGATCGTCGGCGACCATCCTCCCCCTCGATCCTCGATCCTCCCCCTCGATTCTCGACGATCATCCACCGTGATCGATCCTCGCCGATCCCCGATCCTCGTCGACTCTCGATCCTCTTTTCCATCGATATTCGACGAACCTCGCCGATCCTCCCGCCCACGATACTCGATCATCCCTCCCCACTTCCCCCTCGATCCATCCCTCCCCGCGATCCTCGATCATTGGTCTCCTGGATAATCGATTCACCTCCTCCTCCTCCTCCTCCTCCTCCTCCTCCCTCCTCCGCTCTCCTCCTCCTCCTCTTCTTACAATCACTGATATTAACAATAACCACAAATATGACTACTAAAATAACAAGAACAATAATAATAACAAGAATAACAATATTAGGAGTCGTACTCTTTGCGTACCCGTCTTATTGTAAGTAGTCTTGCTATTAGGATTAATGTGCGTAGTGTTATTCAAAATGCTATTGTTGTTATAGTTCGCACCCTTCTTCGTGCTATTATGAGTCCTCTTCTTATGATTCGTAGGATTATTATCAGTCGTATTAATAGTATGATTGCTTCTTCGTAGTAATGTCATTGATGGCATGATAAATAGTCGTCTTATTTTTGTGATTATCCGTACCCATGTCATTCGTGGTACTGGTAGTATTGTGCTTAGTGATACTCTTCATATGATTAGTAGGTCGTATTGTCAGTAGCAGGATTCTTGGTATTAGTATTAGCGTTATTCGTAGTATCCTTCTCAGTAGTACTATGCTTATTCGTAGCATTAGGAATGTAAGATTCGTCTGGCGACTAATCATTTCAGCAAAATATCAGTGCTAGTGGTGTTGCTAGTATTAGTATTCGTAGTCTCATTCTTAGTTTTAGTATTATCAATCATACTGTCAGGATTCGCACGATTATGCGCGTACCGTGTTCCTTTGTATTAGTGTTCTTTTGATTGCTAGTAGTCCTGTGAGTAGTCACATTATCCGTATTAGTCTTCTTACTAGTATGGCTGTTCCGCTGACTCGTCTTACAATGCGTAGTAGTCCTCGTAGTGTGATTCGCGGTCGTCCGCTCAATAGCGCTGGTATTCTACTATAATACGAATCCGCCGGCCCCCTTGTGGGGCCACCAGGCTGTAGGCACGGGTTCGCAGTTTCCAGTACCAGTTGTAGCTTGTAGTTTCCAGTGTTACAGTTCTGCTTCTTGCTGGTTACTGTAACTAGTTGACTTCTTGCTGGTTACTGTAACTAGTTGATTGACCGCGCGAGGGGAGGGGAGGCCCAAACAAGACTTTTAGCCTCACCTGGGCGCGTTGTCTGAATTGCTGGGGGGGCTCGAAATCGACACCCCCCACGCAGATCCGCGGGGTCAGGGTCCAAAAACACAAGGGATTGCCACATTTCTGAATCCGGTGCCACCCCTCACGCAGATCCGCGGGGTCAGGGTCCAAAAACACAGGGGATTTGCCACATTTCTGAAATTCGGTGCCACCCCTCACGCAGATCCGCGGGGTCAGGGTCCAAAAACACAGGGGATTTGCCACATTTCTGAAATTCGGTGCCACCCCTCACGCAGATCCGCGGGGTCAGGGTCCAAAAACACAGGGGATTTGCCACATTTCTGAAATTCGGTGCCACCCCTCACGCAGATCCGCGGGGTCAGGGTCCAAAAACACAGGGGATTTGCCACATTTCTGAAATTCGGTGCCACCCCTCACGCAGATCCGCGGGGTCAGGGTCCAAAAACACATGGGATTTGCCACATTTCTGAAATTCGGTGCCACCCCTCACGCAGATCCGCGGGGTCAGGGTCCAAAAACACAT